TATTGTTCTCAAGGCACATAATATAAGCAATCAAACATGTACGCAACTAATTTTGTTACTGTATCTAAGATTGCATATATAGCCACATTTGTGCTTTTGAATGTCCTCTTTTCTGATACAATTCTTTAATCATGGCTGAGTCATAGGGCATATAAATACATAAAAATAATTTCTAAACAGTATTTTAATCTTAGTAAATCTTTAATGTTTAATTTTTGAGAGGGACATGCCCATCACTCACTATTATGTACCAACATATACAGGCAGAAATCAATTTTTCAAAGTATTTTCCTCTCAATTATAATAAAGGATATGAGTCTACTAGCAAGACAATGTTAAAATTTTAAAACATAAAAAATTTTCAATCTGTTAGAATAACTTTGAATTTTGCAGGTTTTTCAGGCAATTTTGGAACACTTAACTGTGTCTTAAAGAAATGGGACAAAAATTTTTTTGTTGTTGTTTGGTAGACAGGGTCTTACTATGTAGTTCAGGCTGGCCTTGAACTCAATATGTAGCCCAGGCAGGCCTCGAACTCACAGGAATCCTCCTGCCTCAGATTCCCTGGTGCTGGGATTACAGGTGTGCACCAACATATCCAGTGGTGCAAATTTTTTTAGAGTTTAAAGGGGAAGAGGGGGGAGAGAGAGAGAGAGAACAGATAAGAGATAGATGAATGCCAAAGGAAGATACTTACTAAACACTTGGGGAAATGTAACCTAGAGTAATTACAATTTCATTAATTTTAGGGATCAAATAAGTATGCTACACTCTGGAGGCTGACACAGGAGGATACCTGCGGGTTCAAGACCAGCCTGGGCTACACAGTGAGTTCAAGGCCAGCCTGAACTACATAGCAAGATCCTGTCTCAAAAAAAAAAAAAAAGCTACAAATAAATGATTCTGAAAACTGCATGTTTTAAAGGAAAAAGAGAATCTAGGAACTAATGAATCCTTCATGAACAGAAAGGCCAAAAGACTATTGTGAAAGATAAGTCTGCAAACCAACTAGTTCAAAATGGGTAAGAATGAAAGGGTACCAACAGGTCACTATCCCTCCCCACCAACTAATACATTACACAAAATTCCTGAAGGCAGAAAGAGAGGATTTTATGTCAGGTAGACAGACTAGGAATAAATTACCAAAAGGTAGAAAAATCAGGAATCAGTAGTTTTTCTATAAAGATCTAGCTATATTGCACTGGAGATGTAGCTCAGTGGAGGAGCACTCATATAGTGTGAACCAGGCCCTGGGTTTGATTTCTAGCACCACAAAAAAGAACAACAACAACAACAACAAAATCCAAATATATTTCAGACTAAAGATATTTTTGGCTTTGAAGGTTGTCTGTCTTTGACACAATTGTTCAACTTTGCTATATTGTTTAGAGTACTTTTAAGCTAGTATAAGGTAAGCTATGATATTCAGTAGGGCTTTGGTGTATTAAACATTTTTGACATTTTCAAATTTTAATAGGGTTAAGACTGTCATAAGTCAAGGAACATATGTAATAAAATAGAATTATAATATACTATAATAACTTATATGGATATGTTCTCTCTAAAAATATCACTTGAAGGAAGCACATTATGGTTTCTTTTTGGCATATCTGAACAGTCAACATTCTTGTACTTTATATTCTTTTTTTTTCAATGCTCATTATTAAATAAAAGTTACTTGAGAGCCAAGGATTTAGCTCAGTGGTGCTGCCGCCTGCCTCACAAGCAGGAGGTCCCGAGTTCCATCCCTGGTACCAAAAAAATAAATAAAAGTTACTTGAATACAAGAATGTGACAGTTTGCCAGGTGTGGTGGTGCACGTCTGTAAATCTCAGCACTCAAGAGGCTGAGGCAGGTGGACTGCCACTGAGTTTGAGGCCAGCCTGGGCTACGTAGGGAGTTCAAAGCCAGCCTGAAATACATAGGGAGACCCTATTTCAAAAAATAAAACAAAAACAAAAAGCAAGACAGTTCATTTGCTAACCAAGATGGCTACTAAAGGACTAATGAGTGGCTAGTTTTTATAGCATAAATATGCTGGACAAACAGATGATTCAGGTACAGTTCTGGGCAGGACAGACCTGAATTATACAAATGATCAAACTACACAGAAGGGTGCACAATATAAAACTGATAATTTGTTTATTTCTGGAATATTCCATTAATATTTTCAGACCACAGTTGAAAACTAGTAACTGAAACCACAGGTAACAAACTGGATAATGGAATACTATCCAGGGAAGGCAATGCTAACTGCCTCCCTGATATTTACATCCCCTTCTTTTACTTGCCTACCTAATAGTATTCCTCTTTTCCTACTGATAAAAGTTTACCTTAGGGCCAGGGATTTAGCTCAGTGGTTGTGGCACTTGCCTCGTGGTTGCGGCACTTGCCTCGAAAGCACAAGTTCCCAAGTTCGATCCCCGGTACCAAAAAAAAAACTTTACCTTGTTCAGAGTGGTTATGTTTCCACATAAAAGATACCTGCTTTTGTGTTGGGCATGGTGGTGTATGTCTGTAATCTCAGCACCCTGGGAGGCTAAAGTAAGAGGATCATAAATTCAAGCCGAGCTGGAGCAACTTAGTGAGATCCTGTCTTAAAATAAAAAAAGACTGGGGATGTAGCTCACTGCAAAGGCCCTGGTTTCAATCCCCAGTACCACATTAAGTAATAGATAAATGAAAGAATGAGAATGGATGAATGGATGGATGGATGGATGGATGGATGGATGGATGACTGGGGCTGTAGCACAGTGCAAAGCCCCTGGGTTCAATCCCCAGTACTGGGGGGAGGTACGACTGTTTCTCCTAGTATGGTCAATGACACATAGAGTGAAGTTTCCAGAGAAAAGATACTTCTTGCTGATTCAGGTGCCAGCCCTTTTTATCTCTCTTCCCTCCTCTTACTCCCTAAGATCTACTGTGAGATGCTGAGGCTCAACACCCACAAAGATCTTAAACATAAAAATTAAAGGCTAAATACAGCAGATCAGAAACTCTAGGCAACCCTGAGTCCTTGACATTTATTATTGACCAGACACACCAGTCCTGAATTACCTGTCTCTAGATTCCTTGCTATTGTGAACATTAGTCCCTATGTAAGCCAGATATTTAGGTTTTACTGTCATTTGCAATGAAATACATTCCTAATTTATATAGTTATTTTGATAATGATAAAAGTTTAATTTTCAGAGGAAAAAAATGAAAGAACTTTTTATTTTTTCCAGGCTTGTCTATTCATCTAGTCTACTAAAACTAAAAAAAAAAAAAAACCTTGATAACACTTCAGGTGTACACAAAATAAAGATGTGTATACGGGAAAGATGGCATCTCAACAACGATTACAATCACAACCAAAAGTTTGCTTCATATCTCTCATATCACTCAGCAAAAACAAATATCCTTTAATTTTCTCCTATATCCCACCTTATTTGCCACTGGTTCATCTCAAAGCCTAATTCAACAACTGCTTGGGACTAAATCCAACAGACTATGTCTTGTATTATTTAAGTCCCAGAAAGCATAGTACTCTGAAATTTTGATTGAATAAGAAAAGGGAGCAGTGTATCTATCTCCCATGCCTCTATCGCCACTATTCTACTAATCAGTAGCATATATCAGCCTAACTCAAAGATCAAGAAAATTATAGACTCACCAGAAGTATAAGTGTCTTATATAGAAGAACACAAATTTAAATTACTTTAATTAAAGTAAACTGAAAAAGGAATAGCCAGGCATGGTGACACATAACTATAAACCCAGCTGCTGGGGAGGCTAAAGCAAAACAATCAACCACAAGTTCAAGTTTGAGGCCAGCCTGGACAACTTAGCAACCTTGTCTCAATACAAAATAAAAAGGACATGGCCATCCGTAGCTTAGTGGTAGAATGCTTGCCTATCATGCCTGAGGCCCTCAGTACCACCAAAGAGCAAGAAAAAACAACAGACAAAACAAGACTGGGAAACAAAAAGGGTTAACTTAACCTAAAACATAACCATAGATCACTGTTTTAACAAGTGTTAACATGACAACCTGGGCATGGTGGCAATGTCTGTAGTTACAGCACCTGGGAGGCTAAAGCCAGAGAACTGCAAGTTTGAGCCAGCCTGGACTACATAGCGAAACACTGTCTCAAAAAAAAAAGAAGTGTTACTATTACTTAATTTTGATAGAGTACTGTGCCTATACCTTATTTCTCCTAGTACTTCTATTCATAAGCCTCTGCTTTCATCCTATATTTTATCACCCCAAATCAAAATGTGGTCCACTGTATTAAAACACAGCCTAAGTCAGGTGTTTAGCTCAGTGGGGCCACGCCTGCCTGGTAAGCATAAGGTCCCAAGTTCGATTCCCGGTACCAAAAAATAAAAAAATAAAACAGTCTATTCTTATTCCAAGAAAATTCTTAAAATATGTACAAGGGAGAGTGAAGTGGTCAAAGAAAACGGAATACTTGAGTTTGGCACAGTGGTGTGCAACTATAGTCAGTCTTAGCTACTTGGGAGGCTGAAGTGGAAAGATAACTTGAACCCAGAAGCTTGAGACCAGACAGGGAAACAGTGAGACTCCATAGATAGATAGATAGATAGATAGATAGATAGATAGATAGATAGACAGATAGATAGATAGATAGATAGATAGATAGAATGAACCAGTACTCTGGGAGACCAAGTCAGAGGATCAAGCCTGATCCCACTCGGACAACTCAGCAAGACTCTTGTCTCACAACATTTAAGGGCTAGGGATGTAGCTCAGTACGAAGACCCTGAGTTCAACCCTGAGTACTGAAAAAGAAAGAAAGAGAGAAAGAGAGAAAGAAAAAGAAAGAAAGAAAGAAAGAAAGGAAGGAAGGAAAGAGAAACAAACAGCAAATTCGTGGTGTTTTGCCAAAGTTAACCTCCTGAACATGTCTGTAAAATATTAGCTTTTTATCCCACTTTCTCTTGTGAAGTCACAGAAATGAACAAAGAAATATCAAGAGTTAAATAAGTTAGCTTACCTTTTATTTACAGGTTTTTCATCTTTTTCATAAGGTTTTACAAACCACTTCCCAATACGTACAAAATTTCGGTTCATTAAACACCGTTCCAACAGATTGTGAACTGCTTTGAAAAGCAGAGTACGGCATTCATAGGAAAGTCCGTTCTCCCACACTCCATCTTCCTCTTCTAAAAGAGAATTGAAGAAAGCAAAGAATAAAGTAAAACGTTTAAACTCTATAGCTATAAACCCTACTTTACCTCACAACATTAAGTTCCATCACTTCAATATAGTTCTAGACACAAAGTATCAGCTGTTACTCTGAAGAAATTAAAGGCCTAAGTGCCGTACATTCTATTAAAGCACCTGATAATTATTTTCCCACAATGTAAAATATGGTAATGCCACCATAAACATATTGGCTTTATTTCTGAATCAATAAAAAGCCCACTTGCTTGTATAACCTGGATAATATTAAACACATTCTTTATCTATGGTGCCAATTTCTAATCTGGCTCACTTGCTACTTTGTCCTAATTCTTCTAATCACTGAACCTGCCAAAAAAAAAACCCTAGCCAGTTAATAATTAAACTCAAAACATTTCATGTCCATCATGTCCACGACTCAGCTATAAAACTAAGAGATGAATAAAAAGGCAGCTATTGGCACTGAGCCTACCAACCAATGTACCATCAGTCACCTTCAGTCTCATTTCAACCAAATGATTATTCAGAATAGGATCCTCTACTTGGGAGAGAAATTTAAAGATTTAAATATTAAGTGGCACTCTGTCAGTTTAAGTTACAGTAATCACTACTAACTATATAGCCTCAATTTTGGCAGCAAACCTATTAATCGCTCTGTTAACTTCCCAATAAATAAATAAGTCATTTTGAACTAAATCTGGATGTAGTTCAAAAAAATATTTTCATCCTGACATTTCATGTCTATAACAAAACATCCAATGAATCAATGTACTTTTATGAATGACAGTACTTTAGCATTTTAAATTTTTCATAATACTTTAAATTTCTTTCAAATATAACTAAGCATCTTCCTTTAGCTTATATATCTTTGTAAACAGTTTCTATAATTTTTTTTTTGGTACCAGGGATCGAACTTGGGCCCTTGTGCTTGCACAGCAGGCAGTGAAACCACTGAGCTAAATCCCTGGCCCATTTCAAAGTTTATAATTTTTGTCTGTGTGTGTAAACAGTTTATAAAAATGAATCAACTCTGTTCAATTAAGTAAAAATAAACGAAAAAGCCTTTCTCATTTCAAAAATATATATACTAAATGGATAAAAAAATACACTATGAGATTTGAATAAAAGCAGAGAATCATATTTAAAAAGCACATGGTTTAAGCTGGGCATGGTGGTGCATGCATGTAATTCCAGCACTTGAGAGGCCAAAGTAGGATAATCAAGAGTTCAAGGCCAGCCTGGGTCGGGACTGTCACCAAAAAAACCATTAAAAAAAAAAACAAACCTTTAACACATACTTTATACTCAAAATTCATACAACAAATGGGTGGAATAAACATTAACTAAAAAAGCATGACAGTGGACTTTTAACTGCACTCAAACCTCTGTGCCACTGCAAAGGTTAATATTGATTGTATGTTAAAGTTCTAAAAATTTTATGATTTTAAAAAACCTACTTCAGCCGGGTGTGGTGGCTCATGCCCGTAATCTCATCACTCAGGAGGCTGAGGCAGGAGGATCGCCATGGGTTCAAGGCCAGCCTGTGCCACATAATTAGTTTAAGCCCAATCTGAATTACAGAGCAAGACCTTGTCTCCAAAATACATAAAAATAAACAAACAAAAAAAACCCTACTTCAGTTAAACCTACAGTCATATGAATTAAGAATACTGAATATGGTTTAGAAAAATAATTAAGGGCCAGGGATTTAGCTCAGCGGTTTCGCCGCCTGCTGCGCAAGCACAAGGACCCGAGTTGGATCCCTGGTACTTAAAAAAAAAAAAAAGAAAAAGAAAAGTAATCAAGCCGGACATGGTGGTGTGCATGCAATCCCAGCAGTTAAAAAGCTGAGGCAGAGGATCACAGTGAGTTCGAGGCCAGCCTTGGCAACAGAGCAAGACCTTGCCTCAAAAAAAAGAAAAGAAAGAAATCAGTATTATCAATATTAATTTTTAGACAGCTCTCCCTTATTAACCCAAATTGTATCTAGTGAAACTCACATGACCTTAATGTTTTCAGGAGCAGTCTCATGCCCCTAAATGCACACACTCTAACATAAATGGGAGCTATACATAAAACAAAAAGTACAATCCACCTGATAGTTTGGGGAAGGGAGCTAGTCCTGGCGAATGAAATCAGGGGCACTCTACCACTGAACTACATTCCTAGTCCTTTTTGAGACAGGAGCTCATTAAGTTGTCCCAAGCTAGGTTGAACTTGTGACCCTCCTGCCTCAGTCTGCCAGGGATTTTAGCTGATCATCACCCTGGTCAGGCCTGGTGGGGTTTTCTAAAGTCAACAAATCTCTGAAGTACATCTTCATCTATATGGCAAGTGAATAAGCAACCACTACACTGAAGTAATAGCATTTCATTTTTCATTGCAGAAAAAATAGTAAAACCTAACAATGCTCAATGGAAAGTCAAAAGTTTTGTTCTGTTTTGTTTTGTTTCGGGGGAATGTGTCACTTAGAAACAAGAAGACTACTAAGGCAGGATTCTAACAGAGTAATGTAACAACCATAATATTTTTTACATGTTGTAGTCAGAGATATGAAAAGTGAAATGGTGCAACCAATCTACCTAAGATACAGTAATATGCACCTCTTACGCTAATTAAGAGGTCCCTGTATCTCAATACTAGCATTGGGAAGGGAAAGATTAGAGAACACATAGCAAATCTTAACCTAGCTCTTCTAAACTTAATCAAACATAGCCTAGTGGGAAAAGTCAGCTTAGTACATTTAAATAAAGATTTTTGCCCCTTACACCTATACCTCCAGGGAAAATAGTCTCAATTCTGTTTTTAGTACTTTAACACTACAATGAGCATTTAAACTTTTTTTTTTTTTGGTACAGGGGATCAAACTCAGGACCTCGCCAGGCAGGTGTAGTGCCACTGAGCTACATACCTGGCCCTGAGCATTAAAACTCTTAAATCAGTGTTACTCAAAAAATTTTACAATGTATTTATTTGAAAAATGTAACACAAAAGTTCAAATGCTAAATTTGATACCACACGTTTCAGAGCACAGATTAAGTAGTGCAGAAGTATGTCATAAATCATCAAAAGAATTTTCCATAAAGAAAAAAATTCAAGATCAAAACCAAAAAGCTCGTATACTCAGTACTCAACATTTTTCTCAAAAGTGGTATCAAGGGCCGGGGATTTAGCTCAGTGGTTTCGACGCCTGCTGCGCAAGCCCAAGGACCTGAGTTCAATCCCCAGTACCAAAAAAAAAAAAAAAAAGTGGTATCAGGCAAGACTGTCCTGAGTTGGAGGCCAGCCTGGGCTACAGAGTGAGTTCAAGGCCAGCCTGAACTACATAGTGAGACCTTGTTTCAAAAAAAAAGGCCAAAATTGTTATCTACATGGTGATTAGCTGATAAAAAAGGAATCTTGGGGGGGCTGGGGATATAGCTCAGTGGCGCCACACCTGCCTGGAAAGTGCAAAGTCCTGAGTTCAATCCCCAGTACCCAAGGAGAAAAAAAAAAGGAATCTTGGAGACTGGGGATGTGTAGCTCAGTGTAGAGCCTTGGCTGATGTGTAAGGCCCTAGGCTCAATCCCCAACAACGAAACAAATAAATAAATAAAATCTTATCATTTTGCTACACTATAAAACGCAAAATACACTAATGACTAAGAAACAGCTCAGAAATTAGCATAGTAGAAAATACCATGCATGTCATAAATGAAAAGAGAAATGGTTAAATGTCTAGATCAGTGTTTGCTTTGTACAGTAATTTCTCATTCATAAACTATTCATTCATAAGCTATTCATTCATTAGGGCCTTAAATTGCTGGCATCATTAATAGCAAAATGTGGAAATTTCTGATTTTAAAACAGCCTCGTATTATTGACTATTATCTTTGATTTGAAAATCTACAAGATGTACTTTCACACTCAGGAAGGCCTGGTGGCATATGCCTATAATCTCAGCTACTTAGGAGGCTAAGGCAGGAAGATGAGAGTTTAAGGCCAGCCTGGGCAACTTAGCAAGACTGTCTCAAAAAATAAAAAGGGTTAGAGATGTAGTTCAATAGTAGAGCACTTACCTAGTGTGAGAAAGGTCTTGGGTTCAATCCCCAATATCAATGAAGCTAAGGGGATGGACAATACACAGAAGAAATACAAAAAGTGAAATGAAGTAATCTACAAGACTAGCCAACACAGAAAACCGGTCCATGAGTAAATTCTACAACAGAAGATAGAATTACCTCTACCCTTCACGCTGAGCTACAACATCAGCCTTTGACTTTTTATTTTGAGATGGAATCTTGCTAAGCCACTAAATTGCCCAGAACAGGCTTGAATTCTTTATCCTCCCTTCTAATAGTGCTGGGGTTACAGGCAGTGTGCTATCATGCGTAGCTACAAAACATTTTTAGTGTTCCTGCCACTATATTCCTATGCATGTCTATTTATCTATGTGTCAATCCCAATAAAAATTGTTACTGACTAGCACTCAGGAGGGTGAGGCAGGAGGATCGCTGTGAGTTCAAGGCCAGCCTGGGCTACATAGTGAGTTCAGGCCAGCATAGTGAGAACCTGTCTCAAAAAAAAAAAGAAATTGTTACTGAAGGTTAAAACTCACTATAATTATTATTTATTTATACAGCAGAATTAAGGGGTAGATCCAGGGCCTTCATACTGAACTACATCCCCAGCCTTATTTTTAAAGTTTTGAGACAGGCTCTTTTTGGTATTTTTCCGGTACCGGGGATCAAACTCAGAACCTTGCACTTGCCAGGCAGGTGCAGTGCCACTGAGCTACATCCTCTTGCTAAGTTGCCCAGGCTGGCTTTAAACTCTCATCTTCCTGAATTAGCCTCCTAAGTAGCTGGAATAGGCATACGCCACCAGGCCTGGCCCGTACTGGCCTTCCTGAGTGTGAAAGTACATCTTGTAGATTTTCAAATCAAAGATAATAGTCAATAATATGAGGCTCTTTAAAATCAGAAATTTCCACATTTTGCTA